TTATAATTGAGCTTGACTTCATCACTACATCTCTGATATGAATTCTTACTGATAATAAGAATGTCATAGATCTTATAAAAGTGATAGTCATTACAGCTCAAAGCAAACACATTAATATATATTTTCATTTTTCATATTAACAGTTGAATCAGAGAGTTATTAATTTAGAATACATTCTCATCACTCAGATGATGATAAATGAACTCACTAAATCTCTAAACACTGTAATATTTATACAATTCATAATTTTACTAGATCTTACAGATGTAAAAGTTGAGAATGTTTAATTTTACATTTGTATTTGATTTTGACAAACTATCTTAGTGATTTGAGTGTTTTTGTATGTGATTCTTGTTATCTTGAGAGGGGGTGTTGACTCTTACAGCTGTTGCAGTTAGCAATCCTACTGATCACATGACCCACTACTATATTATGTTCTTGTAGCTAGATCTATCAATACAACCTTCAACTATCCTACACTATAATCTAAGGTGAAACTATATATAAGTTGGGTGGCACGTGATTAGGCTAGATGTAGTAATCATCAACAGGTTGCGGTGGCACGTGACTAGGCTGGGTTTACCTAGTAATCACCAACACATTTTACGTTAGGGTTGTGGCAGGAACTCTAACCTAGGTAACAATGGATATCATCACCATCACCGCTACCACGTAACTACCACTACTATCAACCACCAGCCATGAAACATGCTCTCCTGCTAACTACTCTTTTCAACCCACGCTGCACACACATATCTTCTATGAATTCAATCGCCACATGCCTTCACTCAACTGATGACACAACCAATCTCACCCGCGTGATCAGAAGCCCTTCTGGCCTTGCCAGGTCGACTTTCTCTGCTGTTAGATGACCGGCCCCACCGCTGCGATCGAAGCAACAAATTTTGGTTGAATTGCATTTGTTTCATACCTTGTTAACAATGGGAAATGTAAGCAGCAGGCCAGATGAACTGGGGACGCTTTATCTCAAAGACCAAACAAAGCGTAAGTCTCGATGGCCTCCCAGTATTTCCCCTCCAATCCGACGTATTGACTCCATTTCTGGTCTCCCGCTGTAGTCGCCATTGCGTCTGTCATAATCAGCAACTCTCGTGGAAATGTTCTCCTGACTATCACAACGAATTCATTCCCCTCGACGAAGGTTATTCCTAAAAGGGACTCGGGGGACGATCGACCCATTGAATACATCCAGGTAAATTTTACTTACCCTATCCTTCCCCTCCTCCCCCCCCCCCCCACTCCTCTATTTCGCAGAATGAAAAAATGCTAAACACTGGTTGGCGATTGTAGGACCCCGAGTCACCATCTACTGGATTGCCCTCCTTTCTTCTAAAACTGTATAATGATGACGAGTTGAATTTTTGCTTCACCTTTTACGTTCGGCAGGGACAGGCGAGGCAGCTTGCGCCTTCGACAACCAACGGTGTGGCGACTTGTCTACCCGAGACCATCGATACGGTTCTTACCGGCCTTACATTCGCCCACGCATCAAATTCAAGAGATCTGGATAACCTAGTCACCCGGGAATTCCACGCCAACCCCAATTTACAGAATAACTCCAACGTCAAACACGTGGGGAATTTTTCGACCTCAGGGGATCCGTCAATTCAATTTGACTGGTCATGGAAATGGAAGCCTCCCAGACAAGCAGAGGATAGAGGTGGCGGTTGGCGCAACTGCTGTAGTTTCCTTGACTACGATCAAAGAACAAACCGGCTCAACACGCTTGCAACATTTTCTTTCTGGGTCCAAAACGTACCTAGACCTTCGTCTAGTCCTCAGATTCCTTCTCCTGGATTCGACCTGACTGTACCTCCTCGCTATCGCGTGGCTTCCTCCCAGTCCGTACACTCCCGAATGAGCGACACCGAAGCTATTGGTGATCTCCAGCATCCTCCAACCCCTCCTGAGATTGGGGATAAGCTACCATCCCAACCTCCTATCCAACCGCAGAGCTCTGTTAAGTTGGACGTAACATGCCAGCGGCCAGGGGAGGACATGAGTGCAGTTGAAGATGGGCCGTTGTTTCGTGCTACAATGAAGGCTTTGGAACAGAAAACAGGTAATATGCGGGCCAAGATGAAGAAGGTTTTGAAAAGGGCCGAGGCTGCGTATCAAGCCCAAATCGCGTGTAATGATTCTGTTAGTGCGTTTATCACAGCGCTCAATGATGCATCTCCGTCTAATTCCAATGCTATTCAACCTGCATTGGAGCATTACTTTGACCGAATCGCTCGAGAAATTCTGAATTACGAACAACAGAATACGATACACCTCCAGAAACTCATCATTGATCCGCTCTCCAAGTTATACAACCATGACATCAAGCAAGCGGAATCAAAGAAGAAGGATTTCGAAGAAGAAAGTAGGGATTACTATGCTTACGTGGGACGGTACCTGGGTCAGAGGCAAGATTCTTTGAAAGAGAAAAAACGGGCAGAAAGCGACTCGAAATACCAAACGAAACGAAGGAATTTTGAGTTGAAACGTTTCGACTATTCATCATTCATGCAGGACCTTCATGGTGGACGGAAGGAACAGGAAGTGCTATCTCACCTGACAAAGTATGCTGATACACAAGCAAAGAACTATCTGGCTGCAGCGAAGAGGATTGAGGAGATGGTCCCTCAGCTCCAGGCGCTTATAGATGAGGTATCCGAAGCCGATAAAGAATTTCAGTTTCAGCGCACGGAGAGGGAAGAGAAGCGAAGAGCCTTGGAAACGAGTACAAAGAAGTACATTGAACCGGGATCGGTACCAGCCTCTGGCGCTCCTGCTGTGGGACAGGGAATCTCCAATCTTTCTCATCAATCCGACTCTGAACTTGGACGTGCAGATAGTACAGGTTCACAACTGAAAACAGTTGTTAGTGGCAATTCGGGACTTTCTTCGTCACTGAATCCTCCTGTTCTCATTGAAACGCCCGTCGGATCTTCATCTACACCAGCAGGATCAAATAGATTCAAAGGTATTCGGGACCTAGAGACTCGTGACTTGTCCGGTTCGATTCCCGATATGCAGGAATTTCAACATCGAAAGGAGGGTCTTTTATGGGCTTTATCACGCCCCGGCTCTCACATAGACCCAAAGGGGATAAACAAACAAGCCTGGCATAAGTATGTTGCTCGCACTTGCTTCCAAGTTCGGCTGTTTATATGATTGTGAAGGCTGTGGAAGCCTGAAATTTTATCTCGTAATATGTCAAACAATCACTAATTGTCGTATGACAGGTTTTGGATAGTCCTTGACCAAGGAAAACTTTCAGAGTACAGCAATTGGAAGCAAAAACTGGACTTACACATGGACCCAATCGATTTACGGATGGCGTCTGTCCGAGAAGCCCGCAATGCTGAAAGGCGCTTTTGTTTCGAGGTCATAACTCCCCAGTATAAGAGGATATATCAAGCGACGTCAGAAGAAGACATGAATGCCTGGATTGTCGCTATAAACAATGCGTTGCAAAGCGCTGTGGAGGGCAGAGGTCTTCCACCTGCTGCCCTTCAACAACCGATAACGGATGGTGCCATTCGCCGTGGTATTGGCTCCGTTCTAACGGGGAAGACCTCCCACTCCGCTCAACATACATATTCCAATCCTTCCTCTTCCGGTGTTAATCGCCGCACGACAGTTGGCGCTCGACCCAGCTACGTTCGGAGCGATAGCAATAGTTATGAAGAGAATCCGTCGAAGCTTTTACAAACAATCCGTGATGCTGACCAAGGGAATTGCTGGTGTGCGGATTGCGGATCTCTGTCTAAAGTGGAATGGGTGTCAATCAATCTTGGCATCGTTCTGTGTATTGAGTGCAGCGGGATTCATCGGTCATTGGGCACCCATATTTCAAAAATTCGCTCCCTCACTCTTGACATTCATTCATTTTCTAACGACATCGTCGAGATACTCCTACAAGTTGGAAATCGGGTTAGCAATATGATTTGGGAGTCTCGGCTAGACCCACCACTCAAGCCCACTGCTCAATCGACTAGAGAACAACGACTGAAGTTCATCACAGCAAAATATAGCGACAGAGCATACGTACAGCCTTTTTTAGCCACGCTCTCCCGCTACTCTACAGCTGAAGAGACTCTTCTGGCATCTATCAAAAGGAATGACATTCAAGGTGTATTGTATGGGATCGCTCTTCGCGCCAATCTCAATATAAGAGACCGGTCTCGGAATACCCACCCGGTGTTCCTGGCTCTTGCGGCTGCCGATCCCGCAGCTCCCAGTTCATTAGGACAAACAACGGTTGTGGACGGCAGGTCTACTACCGTACCTCCTTCAGCTCATGTACCATTCCCAATTGCGGAATTGCTTGTACAAAATGGGGCAGAGATTCCATATGAAATGCCAACCATTCCTCTATCACCCGCAGCCCAACTGTATGTAAACCAACGGACAGCTAAGTCAAGGGGAGGTTTTACCGTCCAATCAAGACCGCTTGCTTCATCAGTGGGGAATCCGGGAACTGACACCGTCAGCGCCCTGCCCCTGATTCACAGTGGCAATCCCTCGTCCAATGGCGAGAACATATCAACGTCAATACCTGGCTCTCGTCCGCTTTCAGGGCTGGACAACAAGGAGAAGGAGAGGCTGCAGAAGCGGGGCAGCGCTGGAGCTCGATTTGCGGGAAAGGTGGCTGCATTGGGGTCAGACCGATAGGTTCCGCGAGTGGCATTTCCTATTATTGACTCCTACCGATGGTTCTTTGGATCTACCACCTACCTATATAACCCGCGTGATGGTGCCGGAGTTGGGAGCTTAGACGTCCTCCTTTCAACGTGACTAAGCCACTGTCGCTCTCTCACTGTATAAACGGGGGGTATGAAGCCGTATTTTGACGACGAATATAATAATGATATATATATATTTCAAATCTATGAACGAACACCGCGCACCGGGTCTCGGCGGCTTTGTCAGGAAAGACCAGAGGTACTCATCTAGCCTTAATTCTTTTTTTTTTTTTTTTTTTTTTTTTTCTCCTTTTCTTGGTCTCTTGCACCCCAAGGCCACCTTTTATACAATGGCAACTCCCCTTACTGTTGTCGAATAATGCACCCCCACTCTAGCCGTTCCCTGTCTTCATTGTTACCCTATTTTTTCAACCGGTATTACTATGCCCTTCTGGGCTGCGAATGTATTTTGGATTCCCTCTATATTTATTTTTCTGCTGGGTCGGAAATTGCACTTTTGTGTACGTTTGATATTGCATGATACCTCAATGATACAATACTTATTGATAATACGATTTGATTCTGGCACTGTGAATTTGGTAGTGCTCTTACTCATTGGCGTTGGAGCGGAGGCCAGGGTCTTAACACGGTTCGTCACCCCCTACTTATTCCTGTTAGTGAGGAGGAAGGTCGGGGGGAAATAAGGCCGATAGATCCTGATCAGAGGCAAGGGTAGAAGTTCCTGATCCATAAGGCCCGTGATATTCTCCGTCAAGGTATTTCATTCTTGGCCACTAGAGAAGCGCCAGTTCAGGCTCCTGGAGGCGGTATAGCACTCCGTTAAAGCAGGAGCCAATGACACTATCCCCGTGTTGCTAAAGTAGGGATCCACTGAACTAATAATTTGAACTGTGTTGTTGAACATTGTTTGCAAAGTAAACTCCTGCATACAAACCAAGCTTAAATAACCACCTAAACTTCTCCCTGCTTGCAAACCAGTCACATCGCAGATCATATTTTGCCACTCACCACCAGCTCGCAGCTACGGGTAGGCATAAACTTGGATTTTTGCCTCTTTGTTCCCTGCTTCTGGCTTCTGGGCTTGTACAGGTATCCTATGTATGTCTTGCGCCTGGCTTGATTAGGAAAAAGGAATTCACAAACCAAACATGGGTATTTGCCCGCTGGTTTCCCCCGCCACTCCCCTAGCCACGACGACTCATTAATTGATTTAGTATTATTCTACGGACCAGGACTAAACTTATCCCCAATTTGATATTCTCCTACAAATTGAGAATGTGCCCGCAGTATACAATAACGCATACTGCAATGGTCAAGCAAGGGCACACACAGGAAGAACTGTCTCAATCGAACGGACCGATCCGCAATTGGAGTTGCCCGACAGCAAAGCGGAGAGCCAAAAGGTCGCAATGATAAAGCTCGACGTGTTGCTGGACCTGTGCATTGACAACTGCAGATTGTCCATCCAGGCTCAGCTTTGCAGGGTCTAGACGACTCAGTGACGCTACTCAATCTATCTCTTCAGCCGTCCGGTGCCCTGGCCCGCTCTGGGGAACCTCTCCCTGGTATTAATTTTTATACCTGTCTGTGGCCTTTCTCCGCCAGAATCGCTTGGGGGAGGTTAGCGGAGAGGCACAGACTTCCTTTCTTGTTAGTTTTCGGTGTCTAGCTTATTCTTCTGCTTCGCGTGTCCTCCTCCCATTAAGCATCTCTTCTTCCCCTATACCTAGGCTATTTTCCAGAAAGTCCTCGATCATCCTAGTATCTCTCTATATACCTTGGGATAACGTCGTTTTAGCTTCTGCTTCGAATTTTTTGTACTGGTCCAATAGCGAGAGCAGTATTGTTCTTTACTGTTGCAATTTGTACCTTGACGATAACAACATATGTTATATTTCCTGTAGAAAAGGAATCCGAGAAGAAGACGATCGGAGGGCTCTAAATGCGCCAAGTGAGTTAATAAATAGGCACCATCCCATTGAAAGTTCCCAGAGCTTATTTTTGTTAAACCAAGAGAACAACGAACCCTGGCTATTGTTGACGAGGACTGCTTTATTCCTCTAGAGCCATGGGGATGCCGCAAACTTCCACTACCCAGTCTAGAGCGGACCAAGAACGGCCTCCTCCTGGGTCCGTTGTAGTTGGAATGCCATCGACATCTAGTATTGCCCGTTTACCTCTTCAGCACGCTTACTGTCCAATACCACCGGCATTTACACAATTTTCCTCACCTTTTCAGATTCCAGGACACGCATCTCTTCAGGCACACGATACATGGAATTGTCGCCGATATGATGCAACTTTCAATTATCCCTCAATGCCTGGCGTCTTCACAAATCAGATGACCTCCTCCACGCAGGCCCTGTTTTATCACGCTGCTCTCCACTTCCCCCAACCTACATACTACGGGGCACTCTTCCATCAAGGGCCAAGTTGGCAGCATTTTCCACCCGAAGCCATGCCATACAACCACCAACCCATACCAATACGCCCACGCGTGCGGAGTAACAATAACATTGAGCCCCCGGACTACGCCCGTATTACGCATGAACAACCACACCAGGCCAGGTCCTTGGGGCCGGCCAGGGAGTCGACCGCCTGCTATACTATAGTCGATGGCTCAGTGTCAGGCAATCGTGCTGGAAAAGTCATCCAGTCGATAAGAAACAGAACAACAGGTTAGTTATGTGCCCTGTCCCCCCTCCCCCCGCCGGCGGTGTGCAGCTTAAGAGGAATATGCGTGGAACATCAACTCCACAGAATCCTTCTCATGTTTGATACCTAGGGGGGGAACTAAAACTGCCCATTTTTCCCCACGTGCCACCAATCCCCATAGGACCGCCGAGGAAGCCAAAACAGTCTGGGTTCGCCTTATGGGTTGGGAATCTCCCGTCTCGCGCAAGCATTGTTGATCTCAAGGATCACTTTTCTCAAGGTGCTACAGAAGAAATTGAAAGTGTATTCCTTATCTCAAATAGCAAATGTGCGTTTGTGAATTATAAGACAGAAGCGGCTTGCGTCTCTGCAGTGACAAGGTTCCATGATTCAAGGTTCCAGGGCATTAAATTGGTTTGCAAGCTGCGTAGGGGCGCTGCTTCTGAGATTAACAATAGAATGGCATTGTCACCACCACTTCCGACGATTTCGAGTACTGTTACTGATGAAAATGAGGTTGCCGAGTCGCGCGGAGAACATATTCTGAACCATTTCTCCAAGGGTCACGGTCTTCCACGCCCAGATGTGAGACATCCTGAACGGTATTTTATAGTTAAAAGCCTGACTATCGAAGATCTTGAGCGAAGCAGAGTGAGTGGGGTATGGGCCACGCAGAGACATAACGAGGCTGTTCTGAATCATGCGTATGAGGTGGGATAAACTACTCTACCCATATGATAGGAATTACTGCCAAAGGCAGTCGGATTCGAATGGGTGGATCACGATGGTTGATATAATTTTACAAGCCAGAAGTGAAATGTTACTAACTGATCTTTTTTCCCCCTTTTTCTGGTAACAGACTTCAGCGGCTGTATATCTGGTATTTTCCGCGAATAAATCTGGAGAATATTTCGGCTATGGCCGGATGGCCTCCCCTATCCCCACTGGCGAACCAAGCAGCACTGAGGGAAACCCCCCAAAAACCAGTTCAACGACGCCTTCCGAATTTCTTATAATCACGGCTACGCCTCGCACGCAAACGGCACCGGCGGGCTCTGTAGTGGACGATCCAGCTCGGGGCTCTATATTCTGGGAAATCGATCGCACAGACGACATAACTTCGGAAAAGGAAGATGGGCCTGGCCAACTAGAGAACAAAGGGAAAGACGATGACAATCAGTCTTTTGGTAGGTCATTCAGTGTAGACTGGTTGTGCTGGCGACGTCTCCCTTTCCACCGCACAAGAGGCCTCCGGAACCCTTGGAACGCGAACAAGGAGATGAAAATCGCCAGGGATGGAACCGAGATCGAACCAAGTGCAGGGAGAAGATTGATAAAGTTATTTGACCTAGTTATATAAAATACCGGGAGCGGTTCTCAACCTTTTGTTTTTTTTTAAGTTTTCGTTTCTTTTCTCTTTTTTTTTTTTTGTTTTGGCTGGGGCTTGGGATTTAACGTGATCAACCACCCCCCTTACACCCAACACCCGCCATTTCGCCATCACTATGATGAAATATTTTCAATGATATCACAACAACACAATTAGATTTTAAGGTGATATATTATATGATGAAAATATATATAGAAAATTACGTATAAAAATATACAGCTAATTCTGTAGATATTTATTTGTTAGCTGAATTCATACCGGAAGAATGTAGAGTTATTACACGACTGAATTATAGTTGTTTCATCATTTCAATTAGTGACATGATCACTGAGCTGTAAATCATAGTATAATGATGAATAAATGATGAAATGACTGTAAATAAGTTATAAACTGAAAAAATCACTTATTATATAAATAATATCACTGAATTCAATCTGTATAATTACTAATTCTAAAAATCATCTTATTTTCTAATATGTTAGAGAATAATGTTGATCTGTAATCTATCTAAGATGAAACTATACATAAGTTAAGTGGCACGTGATTAAAGTAGATGTTGAAGGATAATATTGTTATATATATGTAATTGTAACAGGCTGTGTCTGATCAATTATATAGACTATTCTGTTACACTTCACAGATTTCTACTGCTTCAATTCTCAGTTGCTGATTCTCAGCTGAAAACCTACAGAATTTCTATTCTTTCATCTCAAAGCTTCACTATATATGAAAATTTCTATTCTTTCACTCTGAAGTTTCACTGTGTATATTACTATGTACATGTATAAATATTCACTCTGATTACTGATTCTTATACTTTCTCTTTCTTTTCTTCTTTAATGTTTTTCTCTTTATTATATAAGATCTATAAATATTATACTGATCTATTCAGTATAAGTCTCTTACACTGAAAAAATATTCATTATTTTCTTATTAGAAATGATTACTCACTGAGATATCTGACTACATAATAATATATAAGAAATAGAGAAATAGTTAAATAGTTAAGTGAATACTGAGTTCTCAGATAGAAGCTTATTTATCAGTTACTCTGATCTTATAACAAGATCTTACAAAGAGAGTAAGATATTATAAAGATAATATCAGTGAAAGATCTGAGAGTTTTAATATTATAAATATATAAGATATTCATATAATTACACTTCTTTCAATTTCACAGATATTATATATTTAACAATCAATATAATTATATTTAATAATAATATGAAAGAATTCTTGAACATGAGTATAGATGTAATGTGGCGGAACCGAAGCGGTGGCTAGTCAGCAGTGTCATATAGAAGTAGTTGTTTGAGAAGCTGTATAAGTGGGCTTGACTATCTTGCTTGAATAGTGAGCTTGTAGACTACAAGATTATTGTAAGAATATCACAGATATGATACTTAGTATACTAAGAAGATTGTATGAGATATGCAGTAACTCTTATATATATTTCAGTAGAAGAAAAAGATGAATTGCTGACTTCTTTGATAAGAAGTCAGCATCTAGCTATTCTATATAGACAATGAGTGAATACTCTTCTCTTATTTCATGAGTGAGAATAGTCAGAGTGATATCTCAGCAGTATCTCATTATCAAGAAAGAGTAATCTGCTGATCTTGTATAAAAGCAGAATTCTCATATTTATTAATTGAATCTTTCTATGATACATCTGAATAATGTCATAGAGTGATTGAAAACTGGTTCAGACAGAATGAAATCATCTGTATGAAAGTGATAAGCTGTGTGAAACTGCAACAGAGTCTTGACACAGCTGAGAGTATGATAATACTCTTTTCTTTAAGAATATAGTCTCTATACTCTTAAGATTATCAGATTAGAAATTATCTTTGTTATATAGCAATAGTTACTAACTGATTGACAGTGTGTGTGCTGTATATAATATAAAGAAATAGATGAGTTTTTCTGCTGACTGTATAGATCTTTCTTTTTTCATCTTTATTCAAATCAAATATATGATAAGTGAGTTTCTTATATATTGATTTAAAAGATGAAAAATGTAATTAATAAGTGACTTACAGATCTTTCAATATATTCTGTTCTATATATGAAATTCTCTGCAAAAGTAATGTATTTTAGAGACAAAGTTAACAGTAGTAATAGGATTTTTTTGAAAAGATTTTTCTCTCTTATGACACTTTTTTCTCTTTTCTCCTCTCATCTGCAATAGTGAGTATATGAGAGTATTATTCTTGAAGAACAGTAGAGGGCTTATTCTGACATTTTCTAGTGAATAAACATCTTCATGATGCAGCAGCGGCCTCTGTGACTGTCAAGAAAGTCAGATTGAAGGCAGAGACAGTGATGTCAATGAGCTGTGAGAGCACTGCTCTCATTGTCATATCTTCTTCTTCTCCTGCTTCTTTTATAACTGTGGTGATAGTTGCTGTGCCTTGCAGTGAGGTGTCATCTCTTCTGCTGATTGATTCATCTGTATTCAGTTTATTCTCTGCTCTTTCTGTCACTGTTATGATGTCACCTCCTCCCCCAGTCAATACAGTGATGTATAACCCTGTGTAATCATTCAGAGAGGAACCTGGGGAGAGCTTGGTTTCAGAGACAGTGACTCTGAGAAGCTCAATCTGTAGTTTCTCTCTCACAGCATATCTGAGCTCTGCTCAGAATGCTGCTGAGTTGAGTTCACAGAGTTCTGCAGTTTCTTTGTCTTCTCTCTGTAAGAAGACTTTAGTGCAGTCTCTGATCAGCACTATTACTTATCTGTACTGTATTAAGCAGCTGAAGAAGAAGAGAATTCTGTATATCTATCTCTTCTTTCACTTCTGTTATTTTCATTATATCTGTAATAATGACTTCTGTCTCTCTATAAGTATTATCTACTCTATAAGAAGATATTATATCAGCTCTGATAAGAAGCTCAGATGTCTAAGCAGTATAGAGTGAGAGTCTCAGAGCTTTAAGTATTGATGAATTCTGTCAAGACTGAAGAGATCTCTCTTACTTATCTATAAAAGAAGATGAAAGTGTGAGTCTCTGAGATAAAAAAACATCTCAGAATGACTGACTCTAAGAAGAGATTAATCAGTATCACTGTTAAAAGTATTATAAAGATTAATCACTGATTGAAGAGAATCTCACTTCAGTTAAAACAGATAACTGAGATATTTTATAAGTTAATAAGTTAATACTTTCAGTATCTCTTATACTCTTCTGTAGTATACTTCTCTATAACACTGCAGTGCTAACTTCTCAGCAGATAAAGATATCAGTGTTAAAGACTTCAATAGTGAAGAATAAGTTTAGTAAGAATGTAATTATTGATGAGTAGACTCTGAGATTTCTTCTTTTTACTTTTTTAATGAGCTGTAATCTCATTAGATTAGCAGCAGTCTATAGATTAATTAATATTAATCTTTTTATTAATTTTAAATATCTCTTTTCTCTAACTGCTTCAGAATTTTTACACTTGTATAGTCTTATTAAACTTCTAAAAAACTCTTTAAGAGAAAATAGAAGAAGAGTGCTACAGAGTCTACAAGATACTGACTCATTATCATGAGATTATCTCTAAAAAATTCTTTGAGAAAAATAAGAAGTCTTAAGCAGTATTTCTTACTCAATATCTCTGATATGTAATAAGACAGTCTCTACTAGTTATCTCATAGCTTGTAATATCTTTCTTAGTATTTTTCAAATGCTTAAGCAGTTTTCATAAATTCTCTGATAATAAATATTCTTCTTATTTCATAAGATATTGAAGCTTGCTATAATATATTCACTTATTCAATATTTTCTTTATAAGATATTCAGTATCACTCTCAATCTTAATATTATTCAGCTGAGACAGCTCTACTCTGAGATATTACTTATAGAGCTTTAAATAGAAAATGTGAAAAACAGAATGAATTGATTTCAATTCTGTGAGTAATTTTAACTCATATATCTGCTTATTTACTACTCTTGTTACTAGAAAAGGTTCTAGTCACTGCTCACTGAGCTTCTTACACAGTCTTATTATCTTGATATTCTTTACTGAAAGTAGCACTTGATCCTCTATTAAGAACTTCATTAAAAGATGTTTTCAATTATAGTATTTTATCTACTACTTCTAGATGCAGTGAATACTTTTTATCATCTTCTTATAAATTTTGTTTAAAAGTTTCAATCTCACTTTTACTTCTGATACTGAGAGATACTTTATTCTCTATATCTATTTAATATTCTGACTGTCTATTTCTCTCTTTGAAATGTCATTCATGACATCACTGAGTAATGAAGAATTAAATTCATAATAAGTATAGAAAGAAGATATCTTTAAGATTATATTCTTTATATTATTATATACAAATTCAGTGATCAGAAGATGTTTGAATCAATTATTCTAATAATATGAATAGAATGCTCAAAGATACTGTTCTAGTGTCTGATTCTGATGTTCAGTCTGATCATCAGTCTGTGAATGAAATACAGTACTAAGAAGACATTTTATTATAAGATGATAGCAAAAAGTCAATCAGTACTTGCTGATAAAGAGAGATTCTTAATCTGTTATCAATGATTTCAGAGCACTGTGATTATAAATAATGATATTTAAAAACAGATTAGTCAATTCAGAGACTTTAATCTTTTTATAAGTAGAAATATATCTGATTATCTTCATGAAGTAATTAATAATGATCAAAATTGAGTTATATTCTTTGACTCTTATTGACTTCAGTAGATTAACTATGAAATTCATTGATAGATTCTGCTATGAGTTCTTTGAAATAGATAGTAATATCAACTCATTATATTACTTATACTGCAGAATCTTTATTCTTTGACAGATATTGTAAGTTTTAATATACTCTTTGACATCTGTCTGAAGCTTGTCTTAAGTATATTTACATTTTAGAAGCTTCTCAGTCTTCTCTAACCTGAAGTATCTTATATGAAGATTATTATGATAAATTCTCAATAACTTCTGACACACTGTTCTATTATAAGAGATAAAGACTGAATCATTCAGCAGTAGAAGTTCATATTCTTCTAGTTATCAGTGACTTGATTTCTTAGCAGCACTGTCTCACTCAGAGTCTGTCTCTTTCAAGTTTAAATCAGACTCTTTCTTCTTCAACTTCTGAATTTGAGCTGTAGTAGAGATATCTCTCTTCTGTAACTTATCAATGAATTTCAAAAGTAGTTGAATTAAAAGATTGTAGATTATTTCATTCTTTACTAATTCAATAATTGTAAGATATAATATAAGAAGCTCATGATCTT